GGGCCCGGGGCCCCAGGCTCTTAGAGTCACGCTGCGTGCTTGCCAGCTCCCCCAGTCTTCACGTTCCCCTCGCCATCGGGGTCTCGCTCCGGACTTGCCTGGAGCCACCCGGGCCTGGGATGGCGACACTGAACAACCGCTGCCTTGGACAAGGGTAGCCTCTTGTTCTACTATTCTCTGCCCTTCCAAACAGGATACATATCACCCTCCCCACCCCCTCCAGCCGCTTACCAGGTCTCTCTCTCTGACACCCACCCCCCCTTAGAATAGCTCTCACACGCTGGCCCTTTGGAATATAAAGACTACGAGGGGAAAAAACCCTAGAATTTGCCAAGAAGGAGAAAATACCAGATCGAAAACAAGCAGAGCACGTTAGAATGGAGAGGGGAAAAAAAGAAATTAAACGCATCAGGAATTTGGGACCTTAGGTTCAATAAAAAAAGAAAGAAGCCCCCAGCCAGCCCGCTCTGGTCCTGCCCAACATCACAGTAGCTTTATTGGTTTTAGCCAAACCGTGATTTCCGCCCTTCGTTTTCCCTTATACGGGCCCGATCCTGCTCCCAGCGAAGCAGATAGCCCTTTTGCAGGATCGGGCCCCACCCGGCTCGGATGTGTGACTGGCCCTTGCCACGTCTCCCCTGTTCTGAAAGGTTCTCTCTCGGCACGCGGAGCCCTTGTAATTAATACCAACAGGTGTAAATGTCACACCCTCCCCTTCTAAAGTCTCTCTCCCTGCTGACCTGGGTCCCATCGTGACCACGTACCCCCCTGGGGTACCACAAGGAGCCGGAGGACTCACCCCGGCCCCAAACCAGCCGAAACTATTTACAAGAGACGCTTCCAGCCTTTTAAAGAGGAAGGCCAGACCCTGCTCCCGGCGCATTGCATATGGACAGCCGTAGTCCACCAGCCCCTTCTGTGGCCACTGCCGTGAAGGCCTGCCTGGCTTTATGAGTGCTCAGCGCCGGCACCAGAAGCTGGGCCCAGCTCCTGAACCTCCCGGGGAGACCCAGTCGTGTGAGGCGGCTCCCGGAGCTCCTCTGGGCAGGGACACTCCAGAGAACCCGAGCTTTTTGCCCGATTTGCTTTTCCAGTGTCAGGGCAATTGGAGCCTGGCCCTCCAGGTGCAGCCGCAGCCAGGCAGCCTGGCAATGGGAGAAGCCGAGGGATGGAGTGGACTCCCAGGAGCACAGGGGCAGGAGGCGGGCAGGTTAAAGGTATTTCTCTGGGTGGCAAGGAAACCTGACATGAAATATAAGGGGAAAGAGGAGTTCTTGGACGCCTGGCCGGGCCCAGTAGGTGAAAGCAGAGCAAGCGCTGCGCCCTGAGCCACCCGGGCAGAGGGGTCCGTGTTGCGGGCCTGTGGCTGGTAGCTCGTGCATCCGACCAGAGGCTTTCAGCCCGCTCCCCAAGCCGGGCGGGATCTGCCTCCCCCCGGGAAGCTGTTTATCTAGCCGCAGTCTCCTGGCCCCGGACAGGTGCTTGGAGGAAGCTGCTGCAAAGCAGCCGTTCGCCCGGCGCTCCGCCTGCCCCAGGGCCGAGGACTGGGCACCCCCTTTGGTGAGAGCTCCGGGGTTGGGGGGTTCATGGATTTCACACACCGTGCGGTGGGGCTGGGTCTCCCCACGTTCAGCAGGCCACATCCGGAAGCGATGAGCTCGGGGCCGCTTCGGGCTCCGGCTCAGGTGGTCTCTGGTGCCTGCCCTCCCACCTGCTCCCCTGGCCAGCAGCTGCAGAGAGGGGACTCAGAGAAGGGGGGACGAGGATCCAGCCCTTCTCCTTTCGGAGCCATGCCCTCTCCAGAGCTGGCTGGGTCCTCCCCTCCTGCAGCCCTGTGTCTGCTCCCCCAGCCCTCCCTCAGGCTGCTGGTCTCCATTCCTGCAGGCAGCCCTGGCAGCCCAGGAAACTTGTGGGCCCTGTGGGTTTGCAGCACTGAGGCAGATTTACGTTAACACCGAGTATTTGACATAACATGACACCTTATTACTCCATTCCTGTTTGTTTTAGCGTTGTTTCCCCACAGAACTCACTAGCTCTCAAGTACCAGCAAAATAATTTAGCACCCCCTAAGGAAACGAATGAGTTTCTAATGTCACGGAAGAAATTTTTAAACAACGTGTTGAATATTTTAAGATCTTACAAAAAAAACAAAAACCCCATCACCGAAGTATCGTTTTAATGTATTCAGTTTCCTCGCTTACATGCCTTAGTCACTCCGGATGTGTTGCTTCAATATTCAGTAACACTTAAATGATACATTTAGATTCCCCCCCCCAGGAGAATTAAGCCTTTTCTTCTGCTATATTTGTAGCCTTTGCTGTTAGATTTGAAACGGTTTCTTCATATTTTGCCATTTGGGTTTCTGCGTCTAGGGCTTTATGTTGATCTGGGATTTATTTTTACCCCTTTATTCCTTTGCAAAGATATTTCTGAATGGAAATATGGAGTGAAATCAGATTATAATTCACACTACGTCTTAATTGCCATGCACGTGCTCCGAAAGCAATCCCTCGTGAATTAATAAACCTGGAGAGCTAAGGAAAGTTTTCAGCCACAGGGGTAAAAGATACCGAAAAGGCATGATCAATAAAAGCTTCCGTGTTTGTGTGGAGAAGGTTGGTACTGAATGTCCGTTTGTTTCTATTTATCGTTTGGGATTAGGCGTAATCACATCAGTGACAATTCGAGCAAGCCTGGGAAACCGTATAATATTATTGTGAATGCCTGAAATAAAGGGTTTATTATTGCTACCAAATGAGCTATTTAGTGTTTAAACGGTTCAGATAGATGGCTTTATTTTCAGTGAACCCGTCTGATTTGCCCGTATGGCAGAATAGGGGACCTATTAGATATTCATTGGTGATATAAGGTGTTTTTCAATATCTGTGTGTTAAGTAACAAAAGGACTTGGACAGGAACTACGTCAAGGGAAGATAGACGCAATTACTTAATTTTATACCGACAGAAGCAAATGTAGTTTGAAAGCAATCTTCCTAGTTTACTAAGGAAGATGACTAGGCTTCAGTGGAATGTCCCTCGCTCCCCCTGCAGTTTGCCTACTGTTGAATTGAATCAGTGAACCACTTTCATTGGGAAATATTATTTTCAAAGCTCCTGTATTTGTTCTTCAAAAATTAAAAATAGAACCAAATGGGGAGGGCGAAAGATTAGCAAAACATCATCTTTTCCTTCTAGGAAACTAAGAAAAGATCAAGTTTTGCTACTATGGCTGCATTTATTTGTGAATTTCTGAAGACCTGTTTATTTTTACTTTCACAAACTAATCAGTCCGGCGGGGTTATCATTAATTCCCCGTCCGCACTGTATTTAAACCGGAAATGTTTATGTCAAGACAACTCAGAATCTGACTTTAATTTGATGGACCGTAGCTACATTTTTATCACAGCAAACTAGCCAATTCATTGACCAGCATTTCAATATTCCGCCCTTCCGCCTGCTATAATGGGTTGTATAGGATATTTTTATAACCGACGAATAAATCAAATAATTTGTCTTTCGTTTAGAATAACCATGTCGTTGCCTCAGACTAGAGATCAACACATGTCGATTGCAAAAGGCATTAGAAGTTGCCAGGGTGAAGTTTTAGGTCTTTTTGTTTGGTTGGTTGGTTGCAGGTAGACTAGCAGGAACGCCTCAGCTAGGAAACAAATCCAATTATTTCATTGTAGCTTTCTCTCCGGCTCGCAGAAGTAAGGCAGAATACCTAACACGCTTCTGTGGCTAGAATTAAGCCACCCTTCAACCAGCGTGCTTTTCACCCCGCGGATGCAATTCCTACTGGGACGGTTTTTCGACGTGTCAGTTTTGCAATGAGAAGCCTGTTTCAGAAAGGACTGAGCGTTATCACTGTAAGGTACACGAACCAGCAAACGCCGGGGAAGCGATTGCCTAGTTGGGCGAGACCTGGGCGCATTTAAACTTTGCTTTAATGTCTTTTTGGCACTAAAAACTAAATAACTAAATAAAAAATGTAGCATTTCAAATGTAGATCCCAGATCAAGACAATTACATGTCCTTGTTCCATGTGAGCTCCCTTTGTAGGAGCGTCGCAACGGGTTCTCCCGCTGTCCTGGCGGTGTTGTGGAAGTCGAGCTGGGCACTAGCGGAATTTCACACGTACTCTCACCTCTCCCCGTAAGGCTCCAAAGCCGGGCAGCAGCCAGCTCCCGATGCCTTCGCCCACGCCCGTCCTGCTCTGGAGGCGCTCACGCTTATTTTAAACATGCGCCTGCGAGTTGCACTGAATTGCATTCGCCCGGAGCTACAAAGGGGGAAGCTGAGCGTGTGTCTGCGCTGCGGTGCAGGCTGGCAGGCAGTTGTTTTAATTAAAGGGTGGGGCTCGGTGATATAGACACCAGATGAAAGCAAACCGCGCGGAATAAACTAATGAACACATTGTGTTCGGAACACATCTGATTTCTTTTTTTGATCTGCGTTGTGTTTTAAAGAAATGTCAGCGCCCTAGAAAGCAAGCCCGTGAAACCTTATTTCCCTGAGAGTGTGCGGCGCTTTTCAAAGGCCAGTGTGATATAGTTTAGAAAAGAAATCCTGCTGTGAAAGCTTGCGTGTCTTCTCTTCACCAAACTAAGCTCCTGTCAATCGCGCCCAGCCCTACCCAATCACCAAGTCCCTTTCTGGAAAGCAGCTCATCCCGCTGTGCTTTTATATATCACACGGCAGCATGTTTAGATGCATTTTTACTATCACTTGAAGGGCTCTGAATGACGAGGGCATAGTTACGGTGCCGAGCGCCCCAAACGCTGGAGTTGCTGACAATTTGCCTGGCTATTGTGTGTGTCTTTCTCTCCCACTTTCCTGGCTCATGTGGGCTGTGTTTGTTATGGACACCAAGTAGGCAAATATGGGGGGGGGGGGTAATTAATTTTGGAGGTTCCCATCCATCTACAAGCTCACAATATGACAGGCTGGTCGAGGTTCATTAGTTGCCCTACCCTGGGGATGGTAATACCGAGCGCGGCATGGCGCTTCCACCTTTAGTACTGGGGGCTGGAGGGCACCCCACTGGCAATTCCTTAAAACTCGGCTCCTCTCGCGGTTTGCCAGATTCTGACGCCGGGCTCGGTGTATGGCTGGAGATCCCCAGTGTCTCCGTTCTGCCTCTGACACCAGCTGGGACAGCTCGCCCAAAAGCAAGATCCCCCCAGGACCCACCATGCCCGGAGTTGCAGATGAGAATTCCTCCAGAACCTCGTACCATGGCATGTTCCGGATGTATCTAGACTCACCCAACCACAGGGGACGTGAAAACCAGGCTTTGCCAAAGCAGACAGCTAGCACCAGAAACTCTAAGGAGCAGGGGGCACGGAGGCTGGCAAGGGGTCCGAGAACCAGGTCCCACCATTGCAGCCCAGTAACTGGAGCTCTGGCTGATCCGCCCTTTGCCTCTTCGATTCTAGAAGGGTATCAAACGATGAATCTGGCAATCCACAGAGAGACCGGCGCTTTTCTCCCCTCCCCTGGACAGCCCATTCCACAAGAACTGATCTGCAAGTGGACTGACAGCAAAGGACACCACTCCAGGCAGGCTTGCTCGAGAATATTCAGCACCATGTATGATTTTTTCCAAAAATAAAAAAGAGAACCCAAACCCCAAAAAAATTTGTTTTAACCCCAAGTCTCCTTTTTTTTTTGAATAAGACTAACACGGCTGTTCCTCTGAAACCTGTCATGTAGTTCACCATGTCACCATGGAGCACGTCGGAGGACCAGAGCAGCCCAACCATATTTGTGACTGGGAGGGCTGCGCTAGGGAGAAAAAACCCTTTAAAGCCAAATACAAACTCATAAACCACATCAGAGTGCACACAGGCGAAAGGCCATTTCTATGCCCGTTTCCAGGGTGTGAGAAAGTGTTTGCAAGAGCTGAAAACCTGAAGATACATAAAAGAATCCACACAGGTTAGTTAGACTGCAAGTAGCAATAGTCATAAGTAGATTTGGGGGGTCGGAGGGGATCATTTGCTTCCTGGACTTGAAAGGGTTGAATTAGCAATAAAAACCAACCAGAATAAAATCATAATAAATAATACCTTAGTATTAATTTTCCTTGCATATTAATGGAAAAGCCCCCAGAGCGGTGGCACGTGCTATAGGTTTACCTCTGGGTGCTGATTATAACCGGGGGAATATTTTTGCTGTATTTCTGGCTCATAACTGAAAACAAGAGACAATTGTTTTTACTAACATTTCCCCTCCCCTCCTCCTCAAACTCTGTGTTTACAAGCTACTGTCCAAAGGTAAGCCCCCAAGCCACCCGCATTTAACACTTCTTCAGTCAATAATACACTAATATTGTCTGAAGGTAACAAGCACCCCTCCCCTTCCCACACTCACGTTCCAGTGAAAGTATCTTCCCCTAGAAACTTACAGCGCTTGACAAAATGAGTCTTCTTTCATGTGATTATATCATAGTAAACAAAAAGGGAAGTGATTGTTTTCTGCTAGAACGAAGAAATAGACAGAACTGGAGTGAAAGAAATGTCTCAGCAGCGTCTTCTTTCCTCCACATTTTCCTGTACAAATATACTTAACGTGCCCAAATTTTGCCCCGGCTTTTTGTCTAATTAGATTTCGGTGTCCCTCGTTTTTAAGACCCCTTCACGTCTACAATTTTTTATTCAGATCTCTACTGGCCAAAAGAAAGATGGGAGCAAACGCTGTGCGGAAAGGATAATACGCTACCGAGGATTATTTTGCATTAGATCCCAGTGTGGACAAACCGAAATGTTAAACAAATATTTAAAAAACAAGAATTTTAGAGGCATGCTGGGAAATTCTCTCTCTGTGTGACTGCATCTATCTAGCCACCCAGACAAAGCCAGCAAATTCTGACACCAGAGAAATTAGTAAACATATGTTATGCTTCCTCTGAAGGCAGAGCGGGGACTTGCATTGGGGTAGTGATTTCAGGCGCTTTATTAATTATGATGATGGTTCCCCAAACCTGAACGATTCTAGGCATTATTTCATGTATTTATTTGCGCCATAATTTAAGGCATACGTTGTGATGGCTGCTCTGCAAGCGCCTACCACCCAGCCTGCCGATCACACGAAAGCTCTGAAATGCTGGGTAACTAAAAGGTGTCACTGAAAACCATAAAGTTACTGGCATGAAAGAACAAAACCCTGGTTCTGCTAACAGTGGGTTCTTTTGCTCCTGGAGATGACGCGTTGCCTAGCGCGGACACGTTCTTGTGCCCCTTCCACACGCGATCGCTCCAGTCCTTGCTTCGGGTGAGCATGTGGGTTTCTGTTCCAGGAGAGAAGCCGTTCGTGTGTGAATTCGCGGGGTGTGACAGGAGGTTTGCCAACAGCAGTGACAGGAAGAAGCACACCCACGTGCACTCGAGAGACAAGCCGTATCGCTGCAAAGCCAAAGGGTGCGAGAAATCCTACACCCACCCCAGCTCCCTGCGCAAACACCTGAAAACGCACCGCAGCCTCGAGCCAGCCCCCTCCACCGCCACCACCAAGCCCCGGGCGGCCGGACAGCCCCCGGGGGCGCAGGAGCCGGGGGCTGGCGCCTGCCAGTCACTGGCCAGCCCCGCCGCTTGTCTAACCAGGTGTGGCCCCCCCAGGTGCCAGGGGAGAGAGAGGGACGCCCCGGAGACGGAAAGAGGGGGCGCCTCCCACGCAACCTCCTGCAGTGGGCGTGAGGCCAGACGGACCCCCCGGCCGGCTCGCCCCCAGCTCTGGCGCAAGGTGCCCTCCGAGGGCTCCCGCAGGTCCCCCAGCCCACTCACAGTCCCGGCCGGGCTGGGAAAGGGCTGGGAGCCAGGGCACAGCAGGGCCACGGGCGCTGCCCACAGCAGGCCCGAAAGAAGCGCTCCCCCCTCCAGGAGAGGGCTCAGTGAGCTCTGACGGGTCACTTCCCCGGGGCCAAAGGGAGCCTTCTTCCCCCTGCCCGCGCCAGGCTTGGAATCACGGACCCCCTAGCCGGAGCCGAGCGCTGGGGAGCTGCAGCTCCCTCTGGGAACTGGACCGAACATGTATAGTGGGTGAGAATCGCCTGCAACCTCCTTCGGACCTGGGGTTAGCAGCACCCAATGGCCAAAAGGGCTCCCGAATGCTGGCCTAGGAATCCAAGCCAAGAGCAGCCCACGGCCCTACCGGCACGGCAACAACTGGAAATACCGCGCTCATCAGCGTCAAGAACCCGAACCCGCCTCTTTCCCCCCGGTGGCACGGGCTGCGCCTCAAGGCCCGTCTCCCTCCCTCACACTCACACACACGTGTTACTCAGGACGTGTGTGTTCTGTGCTTACAGGCGCTCAGCTAAGCCTGGGTCCTGTCCGCCAGCCAGGAAACTGGCCCGCACGGATTTCAATCATCCGTGTGCCCAGTGGTTTCTTTCTGTGGAGAACACGTCTCCTTGGCTCTCACTGGCACGTTATGGGCGAGTGAGGTTTAGCCTGTCACAATTACATTTGCAGTCTCATAGAGGCGTTGCAAAAATAGGGTTGCAACCCTGCGATTAGAGATAGACATGAAAAGCACTCAAGCGTGATTTGTTGTTTTACTGTTTAGCATTAATGTTAATGGGATTATTTTGTCCCTTTCCTTGCTACGCTCTGTTTATGTTCTGGATGTGCGCGTTTTGTACCGATGTTTGACATACGATTTGAAATAAATCACCCAATGTGCTCCAGGCTCGGGCACGTCAGGTCGCAGGGAGATGTGTTGCCAATTATTGGTTGGGAATTATCTAGATCCCAGTCACCGAACCGGTTCTGTCAGCTGGGCTGGACAGTAGATACTCCGATCTGCGGAGTCTATTTTCCGGGGACGGAGCCCAGTGATACAAGTCTGGCTTGTAATGTTAAGCATCTAGATAACGACAGCTCAGTCTTTGACTGAAGTCGCTTAGCTGTAATTACTCATGAATTAACCTCTCTTCTCCCCCCCCCCCCCCAGCACAGTCGGGGAAATTGATATTAAATCATTTTCCACAATCCATCACTGGAAATGCAGACAGGCTATTTGCCACCCCCATCTGTCTCTACGGCTTTTCCCTTTTTTTGGCCAGGTTTGAACTCCTAGCTTAAAAGTATCTATGAAAAGTCACATTTTGCGGGGCTGGGGGTGGGGGTGAACCGTGGCACTTTTAACAATTTTGTGCGAATGCAATTCTCAATGGCTTGTCTCACCCTTAATGACAAGCAAAGCAATGCAAAGGACGGCTTCTCTTTTCATATGCACACAGCATGCAAACGTGGAGTATTTTAATCTACACTATATATATAAAAGTAATTCCTAATCAACTCTTGTCAGATTCCCCAGACTTTCAGTTATTAGCAATTCTCTTTGGAAGCCCTTGGCAATTTTACTGCATGTCAGACAGATAAAAGATTCTCCGGATCAAGAGTTATTAACACATTTTTGTGATCCTTTAACACTGGTGCCTATAACTCTTTTGGCGTAAGCAGCGATTTGACTAGCATCGGTGCGCATATGCAATTCTGATACTTTGAAGCCCTGTGAGGGACCCGATCCTGAGGCCCTTCCTTGCCCAAGTATGGAGGTAGGGGATCAGGCCCTAATTGCTACATTGCCTACCCAAGTTCATCAAAAACATTCAGAGGCTGCTTACCAGTGTTCAGATGTTCCATTCTTCAAACCTCAAATGGACACAAAGAGACCCTCCGTCCCATTATCCTTCGATCCCAGACACCAGCAGACAGAGTCAGGGGCGAACCATCTTTCGCGGAGTTTGTGCGTCATGTGAGTTCTAGATCAGAACTAGCCCTGAAATCTAGAACTCAGGCAACCAGCCAGTAAGAAGGCAGTGAGCAGACAGAGAACGCCCGGCTCTGTGCTCAGGGCAGACAGCGCTTTGCCATCCTATCTTTGGATTTACGTCTCCAGACTAAACCATGTTCCATACCCAATTTCTCAGACCCGAGCTCAGATTAATTAGGCTGGAAAAATCAGGAAGCCTTTAAAGATATGTAATTCTCATAGAAAACTAGTGGAGAGTCTGTGCTTTAGATAGATAGATAGGGTATTTGGGGTAGATGGATCAGAGGGATGTATGGGGGTAGATAAGGTGTATGGGGGTAGATCGATCAGAGGAGTGTATGTGGGTAGATCGCGCCCAAAAATATGTCCTTTATTTCACGCCCCCCCCCCCCAAATGCCCTACCGCATTTTACCACCCGCTCATCGCTGAACTCATCCCGCCCCGTCCCCAGAGCAGTTCTGGCCGGCGTAACCCAGCGCTGGACACAATCCGCTCCCCGGAGAGGCTAACCTCACGGCTGGGTTTCTTCCCCCACCCCGCTGCTTGTGGTGGGCAAGCTCCTGGCAGGCTGGGGGGCCCGGAACCCCAGAGTCACCCCCGGGGAAGGGGGACAGTGTCCGTGTGTCGTTCGCAGCTCTCGGGGCTTGTGGTCAGACAGCAGAGCCGCGGGGAGGGGGGGAATGGAAGGGGAGCCCCCCCCCAGTCAGTGCACCCCCAGAGGCCAACGGAGAGGAAACCCCAGCCCAGCCCATTGAGCCCAGGGGTGGCGTGGGGGTGGGGGGGAGGAGCCACGTGGTCTGGAGCGTTCCCATGGCTCTCGGCACCCAGGGCTGTGGAGCGGGACCTCTCTGCGCTCGGGGTGCCCCCAGGGAGGGCTGGGCAGCTCGCACCCACAGCCAGGCAGGGAGCCGCCGCCGGCGACTCTGGGATGCAGCGCAAGGGCTGGAACCGCCGGAGCGTGGCTGTTTCAAAGCTTTTATTTCCCCATCTGCTTTTGCACTGGGGGGGGGGGGGGGACAGGACAGGTGCCCGGCAGAAGAAATATCTGCGCCGCCCCCCCCCCCCCCAGCAGAGAGTGTGCGGAGCAGACCGGCCCCCCAGCTCACTGCGGAGCCAGGGAAAGCTGGCGCCCAGCCACGCCGGAGGCAGGGCTGCAGAGGAGGCTGCAGGAGGGAGCCCGCATCGCATCTCCGTGACACTGGCATGGGGGTCCGGACGCTGCCTCTGCGGGCACCCGCGGCTGCTCGAAAGGGAGCCGGACTTCTCAGCCCCCTCCCAAGGATTATTTCAATGCAACAGCCAGGAGACTCCGTGATCACCCCGACAAGCACACTCCTGCAGTCTCCGCCCGAATGCCCCAAGTGCGCTCCGGGTACTGCCCTGGCCTCAGTGGAGTCACTCCGGATTTGCACTGGTGTAAACGAGGCAGGGATCTGAAGTTTCAGGGGTGGATGCTGCTTCAGCCTCGAGTTGATTTCCCAGCCTAGGCGGAGGGCTGGATTTGGGATGAAAGACACGTTATCACACTGGAGGGGTGAGCTCAGAAGTTACAAGCGATGGGGTCACTACAGAGTCCAGAAAGTCCTGCCCAGGGAGGGGAAATATTTCTAACACGCTGCCCTGACCTCAGGGCACAGGCTAGGGTGTGACTGCCGGCAGCAGCGCCTTGCTTGGTGGGTTTTGCTCCTGCAATTGACTCAAGATATTTAGGACTAAACCCTGATACATAATCGTCCCTCGGGGTCGCAGCAGGTAGTGACCCGAGACCATGCTTGGACTCCCAGAGAACGCTGTGATTTGGAAACAATCCAGGCGGAGCTCCAGGACACCAAAAGGGGACATGGGTAAGCGGGAGAGGAAGGGTGTATTAGGGGAAAGCCAGGACTCTCTATGGGCCTGACCCAAAGCTCATTCAAAGGATTATTACCATGAATCACTTGTATCCTGGTAGCACCTAAAAGTCACAGCCAGATTAGGCTGCATTGTGCTAGGCGCGGCACAAACATACAATAAATGACTGCTCCTTCCAGAAAGAGCTGACCAGCTCAAAGAGGAGATGTAACAAGTGGATGAAAGAAACAAGTAACAGGAGTGGGGTGAAGGAGATGAGAAAATAAATATAATAGACTAGAAGGACTCCCATTGGCTTCAAAAAGGTTTGATTCAGGTCCCCTATGAATGTTGCTTTATAGATATTTCTGAGGTCAGCAAATTACAATTAACTCTTGGCAGCAGAAAATGGTCCCCTCTGCTGTCATAAGAACATAAGAATGGTCCTGGTGGGTCAGACCAAGGGTCCATCTAGCCCAGTATCCTGTCTTCCGACAGTGGCCAGTGGCAGGTGCCCCAGAGGGAATGAACAGAACAGGTAATCATCAAGTGATTCATTCCCTGTCGCTCATTCCCAGCTTCTGGCAAACAGAGGCTAGGGACACCATTCCTGCCCATCCTGGCTAATAGCCATTGATGGACCTGTCCTCCATGAATTTATCTAGTTCTTTTTTTAACCCTGTTTTGCTCTTGGCCTTCACAACATCCTCTGGAAAGGAGTTCCACAGGTTGACTGTGCATTGTGTGAAGAAATACTTCCTTTTGTTTGTTTTAAACCTGCTGCCTATTAATTTAATGTGGCCACTCCTAGTTCTTGTGATATGAGAAGTGGTAAACAACACTTCCTTATCTACTTTCTCTACACCCATCATCATTTTATAGATCTCAATCATATCTCCCCTTAGCCATCTTTTTTCCAAGTTGAAAAGTCCCAGTCTTTTTAATCTCTCCTCATATGGAAGCCATTCCATACCCCTAATCATTTTTGTTGCCATTTTATGAATCTTTTCCAATTCCTATATATCTTTTTTGAGATGGGGCGACCACACCTGCACACAGTATTCAAGATGTGGGCGTGCCATGGATTTATATAGAGGCAACATGATATTTTCTGTCCTGTTATCTATCCCTTTCTTAATCATTCCCAGCATTCTGTTTGCTTTTTTGACTGCCGCTGCACATTGAGTGGGTGTTTTCAGAGAGCTATCCACTATGTCATTTCTGATAAGCACCATGTAGGAAGGTGGGTGGGGGAATATCTACAGGAATACAGCTATAGGAGAGCTAGGTATTTTTAGTATGATTTAAACCTGCAACCATGTAAGTGACACATAACATATTTTAGAAAATTATTTCCTTTTGATTCATTTATTTATAGAGTTCATCACAGTATTGACAGGCCAAAATATTCAAAAATCATGAGTCAGGCCCCCAAGATCATGAAATTGGCTTAAAATATATGCCGGGTTCTTTTTTCCTCACTTTCTGGTTTTTGAGCCTTTAGTATGCACCGGGGTTTTAAATTACTAAGCTTTTCTACACAATAATGAGGGCTAGAAGAAACTAACTGCTTTAAAGAATGAAAGCCTAGATTGTCACCTAATCACAGGACTCCAGGAGCTGGGGCTTTACAAAAAATGCCAATTACCACAAAGACTCACAATAAAATTGCGAGAGCTAGCAACACTGTGTAAACAACTCAGATCCTACGGTCATACATAATTACCTAACATATAAATAATCCTCACCAAATTTAAAAAATAATAATAATCCAAAATTGCAACCCTAAACCAGCCTCTAACACACCTAGTCAGCTGATCAGAGTACCAAATTCTCCTCTCAATTACATGGGGGGCAACTCCCCTTATGTAAATGGGGTTGTCTTCTTTATGTGGGAGGAGAAATTTAGTGATTGGTGGGGCAGTGAACACGTGCAGAAGGAGTGCAGATTTCTGCCTACTGCTAGATCTGCTGCAGAGTTTTTGTTTGGTTGTTTGCATTAGATAGATGCAGACTGCATAAATTCTGTACTACTGACCCCCACTGATCTCTACAAATGGTAGGTTCCAGATTTAATTTCACCATGTCTACAGCAGTCTTACTTTCTCCACATGGTTGCATAGTGCCATG